CGGTGATCCAGTGAGGTTTCGACAGATAATCAGCAATCTCATGGGGAATTCCATCAAAGTAAGTATGCAGTCAATTCTCTGTTGAATTTGGTTTAGGTTGACTTGAAAAATTAGATGTTTACACATTGTGGAAATTCAGGGGGAAGACGGGCCTATGATGGGAATTTATGGTTTCCATAATTTAAATATTTTTATACGTTGGAAGTTTATTACTTTTCAAGGGAGAAATAATGACCTAATGAAATAGCATGGATTAAAAAAATTGACATTCTCTGGGGAATTGTTCCATGAATTTTGCCATAGGCATTTACGTTGCTTTATGTTGTATTCATCTATGTGTAAAATCTCTCTATAAATACATTTATTTTAGGATCTGTTGTATGTTTTTTCCATGAACAGTGATAAAATGATAAAATTTTAATTATGCAGTTCACGAAGGCAGGACACATCTTTATTACTGTCCATCTTGTTGAGGAGATGATGGACTCTATTGAAGTTGAGACTCTATCATCATCAAAGAACACACTGAGTGGCTATCCTGTTGCTGATAGACGCCGCAGCTGGGAAGGATTTAGGGCTTTCAATCAAGATGGATCCACTTGTTCTTTAAAATCATCCTCTTCTGATTTCATCAATCTAATTGTGTCAGTTGAAGATACAGGAGCAGGAATCCCTCTGGAAGCCCAATCTCGTATTTTCACCCCTTTTATGCAGGTTGATCCATCAATTTCCCGAACACATGGAGGTACAGGCATTGGGCTTAGCATAAGCAATTATTTGGTTAGCCGCATGAATGGGGAGATTGGATTTGTTAGTGTTCCGGAAATCGGGTCAACTTTTACATTTACCGCTGTCTTACGCAATGGTTCCTCCAATTCAAATGAGCAACAGAGCCAGCAAATGAATGGGCAGTCTAAATCTGTGTCCTCAGAACTCAAAGGCATGACAGCATTGCTTGTGGACCACAGACCTACACGGGCCAAGGTGTCAAGATACCATATCCAACGTATTGGAATTCATGTTCAAGTAGTTTCTGATTTGAATGAAGGTATATCTTGCATAGGCAGTGGGAATATGGTTATCAACATGGTCCTTGTTGAACAAGAAGTTTGGGAGAGGGATGCAAGTACTTCAACCCTCTTTACTAGTAACTTGAGAAAATTTGATCATGGGGCTCCAAAATTGTTCCTTCTAGCTAAACATACCAGCTCTTCTAGAATGAACACTACAATTTCTGGTGTTTATAGTCCAACTGTAATCACGAAGCCCCTAAGGGCCAGCAAGGTTTCTGCAGATCTTCAACGAGCCTTGGGTATTGGGAATAAGGGCAATCCCATTCCAAGTCTGTCTCTCCGTAATCTTCTTATTGGGAGAAAAATTTTAATTGTGGATGACAACAAGGTGAATCTCAGAGTAGCTGCTGGTGCTTTGAAAAAGTATGGAGCTGATGTGGAATGTGCAGAGAGTGGAATAAAAGCAACCAATATGCTTAAGCCACCTCATCCCTTTCATGCCTGCTTCATGGATATCCAGATGCCAGGAATGGATGGGTATAAGATGCTTCCTTGCTTTGAGACCTTTTATTTAAATAATTCTTGCTTATAAATAGTTCTGAAACCTCTCAGAAAATGACTATACAGGCTCTTATCATCGACTGTTTAGAAGATTTTGGGTTTTTGTGAGACACTTATTATAGTCCACTAGTAATAGATCTTCTTAGTCAGCTAGCTAATTCTGATCTAATCTACTTCTAAACCCTGTTTATTTCCTTGCTTCCCAGGTTTCAAGCTACAAGGATTATTAGAGAGGAGGAACACCGTTACAACAATTCTATTCATCATGATGACAATGTTTCAAACTGGCATGTACCCATTTTGGCCATGACTGCAGATGTGATCCAAGCTACACATGAGGAATGCCTAAAGTGCGGGATGGATGGATATGTTTCAAAACCGTTTGAAGCTGTGCAGTTATATCGGGAAGTTTCTCGTGTTGTCCCATTTGTTTGAGATTGGAATCTACAGAGGGGCTTTCTGTTGAATGCGAATGGATAACATTAGCACAATGCACCTGTTCTCCAGGATGCTTTAATTGCTTAAATGTGTTCAGAGTTCTTCCCAAGAGTGAGTTCTCCATTGACCTCAATTAATTTCATCTGATTTCTAGTTACTCCTCTTGAACCACTATTTCTTAAGAATTTGATGCACAGCCTCAGAACCTCCATTGATTTCTTGCTATGCTTGACATTTCTCCAGGAAAATATTTGTTTTGTGGCAGAGAGTGTATATAGAAGCCATGCTTGATTTGAAGTGGGATCGAGTCTTTATTGATTGCTCAAGAGCAAGATACAACAGCAGTTCAGTTTATTGATCGATTGCTGTGCAAAATTGAAACTGTTTGATAGGACACTAGATTACTTAAGAATTACAACTACTTGAAAATGGATAGGAAGAAATCCCAATTGATTAAGGAGTGTGTATTTAGAAGTAGGAGCTATGCAGTATTTCTGTCGTCTTCCCCCCTTCTAACAATAAAAACTGCAACAATTTCTCAGTCTTCGGGTTCTCTCTCAGCTGAAAATGTGTGTATGACAGAGATTGATTCAGTTGAAAGAATTGAAGAAGGCTTTTCATCATCAACCACGGGGAGAATGCGCCATGTACATAATTACTACATTAATAAAAATGATTATTGTGTAATTATAGTCTCCATTGTTATCATATTAATGTACTATGGTCTAACGCTGCCAACAGCTTGATGTACTAGGTATTGATGTAACTACAGTGACAGTGTAATCAAAATTTGAGTAATCCTATGATTTTTGACATAGCTTCCATATTGTAGAATATAGATGCTACGAAAAGGAGAACGAAAGAGTTGTTTATAAAAAAAAAAATAGACTAATTCTTGGTATTGATACTTGCTGAACTTAGTGTGTAGAGAACAATGATCCAAGAAATGTAATAAGTCTAAGGTACTTCAAGTGCAGTAATAATGAATGTCTTTTCTGCATTTGGAAGTATTAACGGTGTTGGAAGAAGAATGCCTAGGAGTTTCTCTAATGTTTTCTACTGCTTCCAAGCAGGTATCTTGGTGGAGTCTTTGACATTGAATCACTTGTGGAGAAATTACTTCACAGCTTGCAAGCAAACAAACCATCTTCGTCAATGTGTATGACACTACCAATCCATCTCACCAATCAGCATGTATGGTTCAAATGTATCAAATGATGAGTTGGAGCATGTTAGCTCTCTTAATTTTGGAGATCCCTATAGAAAACATGAGATGCGTTGCAGGTAGTCATTGATATTTCTTTGAATACTTTGGGTTTTCTTCTGTTTGATTTAGGCTTCTATGTTCAGTTAAATTCCTTGCACCCTGCACATAAAGTTCTGTAAGATCTTACAAAGAACTAGAGCATCTTCCATCTGAAGAGACCTTAATTCTGAATGCCTCTAATTCTGTTAGTGGACAAGATGTAAAGAAGTTAAAACGGGTGAAGACCTGAGTTTTGGTCTTAATGCAGATTCAGCAGAAATCACCGTGGCCATGGCTAATAACAACTTCTGTTCCATCGCTGTGATTGCATCTCTTGTTGGACAAATCTCTATGCAACCGTGAGTCGAATTGTCAAAGTTGAAGAAGATTATAAGAGATGATGGAACTCAAAAAAAAGGCTGAGGCAGCTGTGTTGCAAAGTCACGGTGCTTGATACTTGTAATCAAACTGTTATGCTTTGTTTAATTTTCATCTCTTGTGTGATGTGTTTCTAAACATACTTCAACCTTCTGTATTTCCTTGCTCTGTTTCTCATGAGATCAGAACCCCAATGAATGGTGTTCTAGGTGAGTTTTGTAGCTGCCCTTTCTCTTATTTTAGTATGAAAGTTCAAATTAGCATAATACTGTTTGAAAATTAATTAATTTTTTGAAGGTCAGAGAACCATGAAAGCATAATTTTATGACTATTTCAGAATGTTGGATATGCTCATAGACACAGAGTTAGATGGAACTCAACAAGATTATGTCAGAACTGCCCAAGGCAGTGGAAAAACTCTTGTTTCTCTTATAATGAGGTTTTGGTCAAGCAAAGGTTGAATCTGGTAAGCTTGAGCTTGGAAGTGAGTTTTGATCTGCGGGCAGTTCTGGATGATGTATTGTCTCTCTTTTCTGGGAAGTCTCAAGAGAAAGGAGTAGGATAGAGGTACGTGTCTCTACTATTGCATTAATAATTAAAACTTTTTTTTGGGGGGTCTAATATATGAACTTTGAAATTTGCATAAATTATTTTGCGGGCAAGAGCATTGCAGTTTATATCTCTGATCGGGTTCCTAAAATTCAGTTGGTGATCCATGAGTTTCGACAGATAATCAGCAATCTCATGGGGAATTCCATCAAAGTAAGTATGCAGTCAATTCTCTGTTGAATTTGGTTTAGGTTGACTTGAAAAATTAGATGTTTCACAATTGTGGAAATTCAGGGAAGACGGGCCTATGATGGGATTTATGGTTTCCATAATTTAAATATTTATACGTTGGAAGTTTATTACTTTTCAGGGAGAAATAATGACCTAATGAAATAGCATGGATTAAAAAATTGACATTCTCTGGGAGTTGTTCCATGAATTTTGCCATAGGCATTTACGTTGCTTTATGTTTTATTCATCTATGTGTAAAATCTCTCTTAACCTGAGCTAGTAGACGTTTTCACCACCGTATTCTGCTCTTCTTTCTTTCATAGATTCTTGTTTCTTTCATTAGTGTGTCCATGAATCCATTCTTGTTAGCTTCTTTTAATGTTCTCTCTTGGGTTCATAGATCTCCACAGTTTGTTGTTTTTAACTATTGTTGAGTCAAACCGTGACAAAAACAACAGCTTCCACATGCTTCATTTTCTTAGTGTTTGATTTCAGGAATTTAACTAGTCCTATAAACTAGATTTTCTTGTCAGATTCTCGGTTGTTGTGAGAGACTGAGAGTTGAGTTGTGTTTCTGATTTGATTACTAAATTTTCGATTCTTTTTGTTTTTCTCAGCTTTGGTTGGTACTGAACTGGATAAAATTAAATTCTATTTTAGAATTAGAAACTTCCTGGGGATTCTTTGGTTCCCTTTATCTTCCTCAGTATTGGGTCTTCTCGGTTGCATTCTTCAGTTTGGAGTTGGGTGAGCTTTAGTTATTCTTTCGTTTCTCTTACTTTTTTTTTCTTGTTCGAAGTTTGGATTTTGTTTATGTTGGGTTTTACTAGACAGTCTCTGTAGATTTGATAGTGGGTCTCTCTCTCCTCACCTAATTCATTTCTAGCTGGAATTTAACAATAAGTTAGACCCACTTCTACTTTGTTACTGTTTCAACTTAGCTGGAGTTAACTGGTTACTTTTTTTTTTTTTTTTTTCCTTTCTTTCTTTCTTTCTTTCTTAGATGAGTTTGCTTCATGTGTTTGGGTTTGGTCTAAAGGTGGGGCACTCACTTTGGATGCTATGTTGCTGGGTTGTTTCTGTGGTTTCCATGAACTGGTTCATACATGGTGGAATTGAAAATACCAAGACTGGTTTTCTTGGTGATGGTCGTAAGATGTGGGTAGAATGCTGGGAGAGGATCTTGGGGAAGAGTTGGAAGATCCACAATTTTTATTACCAGTCTATTGGGTCAAAAAAAGTTAGAATAGTATGGTGGAGAAGGGTGTTGGCGTTGTGGTTGCTTTTTTGGGTCTTGGCATCTATGTGGGTATTCTGGTACATGAACGGACAAACTACTGAAAGGAGGAAAGAGGCTCTCGCTAGTATGTGTGATGAGAGGGCTAGGATGTTACAGGATCAGTTTAATGTGAGCATGAATCATGTTCAGGCTATGTCCATATTGATATCCACGTTCCACCATGGCAAGAACCCATCTGCTATTGATCAGGTTATTGGATCTCCTTCTTCAACTTTACCAACTTAATACACTGAACCTCTTTCTAATTTTTAAGTCTTGACTTGCTGTTCTCAGTTTTCCTTGCTCTGGTAGTGTTTCTAGCAAGAAATTCAGTCAAGCATGCTAATTTTGTTTTATATAATCAATTCGCTGACAGACAAGAACTATTTACTTCTTGAACTACTTAGTTTGGATCTATTGGGTTACTATGATGTAATTGCTTCCAATTCTATGATATTTCTTTTTATCATTTATGGTTTTACTTCCTAATGTTAAATTAAGTGAATTTTTATGGGGTTTCTTCGAAGAATGTTAATTTGGTAAGCAGGTTAATCTAAAACCAGATCTGAGTTCTTTTGTCTTTGAAGTTTGAGCACTAGCATCATTTAACCAAACAAACTAACTTTAAGAACATTTAAGAGGACTTTCGCAAGGTACACTGAAAGAACTGCTTTCGAGAGGCCTCTCACAAGCGGAGTGGCTTATGCTGTAAGGGTGCTCCGCTCTGAAAGGGAACAATTTGAAAAGCAACAAGGCTGGACTATTAAGAAGATGGATGAACTCGGGCATAATCCAGTTCAGAAGGATGACTATACCCCAGAAGCTTTGGAGCCATCCCCAATTCAAGAAGAATATGCTCCTGTTATCTTTGCACAGGATACCATTTCTCATGTGGTTTCTGTTGATGTGCTTTCGGGAAAAGTAAGTTTCTTTTCTATATTCTCAATGTTTATTCTGGTTATTTTCTTAGTTTTAGTGGTAGAATTGACCGTTAAGTGGAACATTTTTGCGATAGCTTCTAAATTGACCTTTTACCAGCCTTACTTTTTGATCGGGAACTTCATTTTTTTGGATTATAAGAACCATACCAGTGATTTATTAAAGAAGTTTGAAGTTGCTTATTCTGATCCTTGTTGTAAAGTTTCAATGACTTTTGTACTTACAGGAGGATCGTGAAAATGTGTTGCGAGCAAGAGCATCGGGAAAAGGAGTCTTAACTGCTCCTTTCAGGTTACTCAAATCAAACCGTCTTGGAGTTATTTTGACATTTGCTGTTTATAAGAGGGATCTGCCCTCAAATGCAACCCCAGAAGACAGGATTGAAGCTACTGATGGGTATGGTTTCTATCACAAATTTAAAATTGATTGAGAAAATTTTGATAGGATTTCCTTGATGATCCTTGATAATGGAATTAGTATAAAAACAGATTCATTCACAAAGCTTTCATATTGTAGAATATAGATGCGTACGAAAAGGAGAAAGAAAGAGTTGTTTTTTAAAAAAAAAAAAAAAATAGACTTAATTCTTGGGATTGATACTTGCTGAACTTAGTGTGTAGAGAACAATGATCCAGAAGAAATGTAATAAAGTCATAAGGTACTTCAAGTGCAGTAATAATGAATGTCTTTCTAATCTGCATTTGGAAGTATTAAACGGTGGTTGGAAGAAGAATGCCTAGGAGTTTCTCTAATGTTTTCTACTGCTTCCAAGCAGGTATCTTGGTGGAGTCTTTGACATTGAATCACTTGTGGAGAAATTACTTCAACAGCTTGCAAGCAAACAAACCATCTTCGTCAATGTGTATGACACTACCAATCCATCTCACCCAATCAGCATGTATGGTTCAAATGTATCAAATGATGAGCTGGAGCATTTTAGCTCTCTTAATTTTGGAGATCCCTATAGAAAACATGAGATGCGTTGCAGGTAGTCAATTGATATTTCTTTGAATACTTTGGGTTTTGCTTCTGTTTGATTTAGGCTTCTATGTTCAGTTAAAATTCCTTGCACCTGCACATAAAGTTGCTGTAAAGATCTTACAAAGAACTAGAGCATCTTCCATCTGAGAGGACCTTAATTCTGAATGCCTCTTAATTCTGTTAGTGGACAAGATGTAAAGAAGTTAAAACGGGTGAATGACCTGAGTTTTGGTCTTAATGCAGATTCAAGCAGAAATCACCGTGGCCATGGCTAGCAATAACAACTTCTGTTGCCATCGCTGTGATTGCATCTCTTGTTGGACAAATACTCTATGCAACCGTGAGTCGAATTGTCAAAGTTGAAGAAGATTATAAAGAGATGATGGAACTCAAAAAAAAGGCTGAGGCAGCTGATGTTGCAAAGTCACAGGTGCTTGATACTTGTAATTCAAACTGTTATGCTTTGTTTAATTTTCATCTCTTGTGTTGATGCGGTTCTAAACATATTTCAACCTTCTGTAGTTCCTTGCTACTGTTTCTCATGAGATCAGAACCCCAATGAATGGTGTTCTAGGTGAGTTTTGTAGCTGCCCTTTCTCTTGTTTTTCTATGCAAGTTCAAATCAGCATAATACTGTTTAGAAAATTAATTAATTTTTTGAAGGTCAGAGAACCATGAATGCATAATTTTATGACTATTTCAGGAATGTTGGATATGCTCATAGACACAGAGTTAGATGGAACTCAACAAGATTATGTCAGAACTGCCCAAGGCAGTGGAAAAACTCTTGTTTCTCTTATAAATGAGGTTTTGGATCAAGCAAAGGTTGAATCTGGTAAGCTTGAGCTTGAGGAAGTGAGTTTTGATCTGCGGGCAGTTCTGGATGATGTATTGTCTCTCTTTTCTGGGAAGTCTCAAGAGAAAGGAGTAGAGTTAGAGGTACGTGTCTCTACTATTGCATTAATAATTAAAACTTTTTTTTTGGGGGGTCTAATATATGAACTTTTGAAATTTGCATAAATTATTTTGCGGGCAAGAGCAGTTGGCAGTTTATATCTCTGATCGGGTTCCTAAAATTCTAGTCGGTGATCCAGTGAGGTTTCGACAGATAATCAGCAATCTCATGGGGAATTCCATCAAAGTAAGTATGCAGTCAATTCTCTGTTGAATTTGGTTTAGGTTGACTTGAAAAATTAGATGTTTACACATTGTGGAAATTCAGGGGGAAGACGGGCCTATGATGGGAATTTATGGTTTCCATAATTTAAATATTTTTATACGTTGGAAGTTTATTACTTTTCAAGGGAGAAATAATGACCTAATGAAATAGCATGGATTAAAAAAATTGACATTCTCTGGGGAATTGTTCCATGAATTTTGCCATAGGCATTTACGTTGCTTTATGTTGTATTCATCTATGTGTAAAATCTCTCTATAAATACATTTATTTTAGGATCTGTTGTATGTTTTTTCCATGAACAGTGATAAAATGATAAAATTTTAATTATGCAGTTCACGAAGGCAGGACACATCTTTATTACTGTCCATCTTGTTGAGGAGATGATGGACTCTATTGAAGTTGAGACTCTATCATCATCAAAGAACACACTGAGTGGCTATCCTGTTGCTGATAGACGCCGCAGCTGGGAAGGATTTAGGGCTTTCAATCAAGATGGATCCACTTGTTCTTTAAAATCATCCTCTTCTGATTTCATCAATCTAATTGTGTCAGTTGAAGATACAGGAGCAGGAATCCCTCTGGAAGCCCAATCTCGTATTTTCACCCCTTTTATGCAGGTTGATCCATCAATTTCCCGAACACATGGAGGTACAGGCATTGGGCTTAGCATAAGCAATTATTTGGTTAGCCGCATGAATGGGGAGATTGGATTTGTTAGTGTTCCGGAAATCGGGTCAACTTTTACATTTACCGCTGTCTTACGCAATGGTTCCTCCAATTCAAATGAGCAACAGAGCCAGCAAATGAATGGGCAGTCTAAATCTGTGTCCTCAGAACTCAAAGGCATGACAGCATTGCTTGTGGACCACAGACCTACACGGGCCAAGGTGTCAAGATACCATATCCAACGTATTGGAATTCATGTTCAAGTAGTTTCTGATTTGAATGAAGGTATATCTTGCATAGGCAGTGGGAATATGGTTATCAACATGGTCCTTGTTGAACAAGAAGTTTGGGAGAGGGATGCAAGTACTTCAACCCTCTTTACTAGTAACTTGAGAAAATTTGATCATGGGGCTCCAAAATTGTTCCTTCTAGCTAAACATACCAGCTCTTCTAGAATGAACACTACAATTTCTGGTGTTTATAGTCCAACTGTAATCACGAAGCCCCTAAGGGCCAGCAAGGTTTCTGCAGATCTTCAACGAGCCTTGGGTATTGGGAATAAGGGCAATCCCATTCCAAGTCTGTCTCTCCGTAATCTTCTTATTGGGAGAAAAATTTTAATTGTGGATGACAACAAGGTGAATCTCAGAGTAGCTGCTGGTGCTTTGAAAAAGTATGGAGCTGATGTGGAATGTGCAGAGAGTGGAATAAAAGCAACCAATATGCTTAAGCCACCTCATCCCTTTCATGCCTGCTTCATGGATATCCAGATGCCAGGAATGGATGGGTATAAGATGCTTCCTTGCTTTGAGACCTTTTATTTAAATAATTCTTGCTTATAAATAGTTCTGAAACCTCTCAGAAAATGACTATACAGGCTCTTATCATCGACTGTTTAGAAGATTTTGGGTTTTTGTGAGACACTTATTATAGTCCACTAGTAATAGATCTTCTTAGTCAGCTAGCTAATTCTGATCTAATCTACTTCTAAACCCTGTTTATTTCCTTGCTTCCCAGGTTTCAAGCTACAAGGATTATTAGAGAGGAGGAACACCGTTACAACAATTCTATTCATCATGATGACAATGTTTCAAACTGGCATGTACCCATTTTGGCCATGACTGCAGATGTGATCCAAGCTACACATGAGGAATGCCTAAAGTGCGGGATGGATGGATATGTTTCAAAACCGTTTGAAGCTGTGCAGTTATATCGGGAAGTTTCTCGTGTTGTCCCATTTGTTTGAGATTGGAATCTACAGAGGGGCTTTCTGTTGAATGCGAATGGATAACATTAGCACAATGCACCTGTTCTCCAGGATGCTTTAATTGCTTAAATGTGTTCAGAGTTCTTCCCAAGAGTGAGTTCTCCATTGACCTCAATTAATTTCATCTGATTTCTAGTTACTCCTCTTGAACCACTATTTCTTAAGAATTTGATGCACAGCCTCAGAACCTCCATTGATTTCTTGCTATGCTTGACATTTCTCCAGGAAAATATTTGTTTTGTGGCAGAGAGTGTATATAGAAGCCATGCTTGATTTGAAGTGGGATCGAGTCTTTATTGATTGCTCAAGAGCAAGATACAACAGCAGTTCAGTTTATTGATCGATTGCTGTGCAAAATTGAAACTGTTTGATAGGACACTAGATTACTTAAGAATTACAACTACTTGAAAATGGATAGGAAGAAATCCCAATTGATTAAGGAGTGTGTATTTAGAAGTAGGAGCTATGCAGTATTTCTGTCGTCTTCCCCCCTTCTAACAATAAAAACTGCAACAATTTCTCAGTCTTCGGGTTCTCTCTCAGCTGAAAATGTGTGTATGACAGAGATTGATTCAGTTGAAAGAATTGAAGAAGGCTTTTCATCATCAACCACGGGGAGAATGCGCCATGTACATAATTATTACATTAATAAAGATGATTATTGTGTAATTATAGTCTCCATTGTTATCATATTAATGTACTAAGGTCTAACGTTGCCAACAGCTTGGTGTACTAGGTATTGATGTAACTACAGTGACAGTTTAATCAAAATTTGAGTAATCCTATGATTTTTGTCGGATTTGTACACTTCATTTCTTCATTGCTTCCGAGTGACATAATAATTTGATTTGTTATCTGATGGGCTTCTCCCGCATGGGTTCGATGTTCGATCACCGCTGTTGACGTCATAACTATTTTGTAAAAAAAAAAAAAAAAGAGCGAAAAAATTATTATGGAAGCGGCGGCAGCGTCAAATTTACGCAAACACTAAACAGAGAGTTGAGAGCCACCCCCTAATTATTCAATATGTTAATTAACACATAAAACAGTAAAGAGCGTATATAAATAACGGCAGGTAGTAATGTACACCAACCGATCAAATGCGTATTGACTCTTGATCTTTTCAATTTCAAATCTCAGCCCTAGATCTATATATAAAACCAAAACCGGAAAACCCTTTTTCTATTTTCCTCTTGCTCTCTCCTTTTCATAGAAACGGATAAAAAATAAATTCTCTAGAGCTCTCAATCGCGTCAGTCTGAAGCTAAAGCTAAACAAACGAGAGGCGTAGGGATTTGATCAGATGGATCCAGACGCAGTGGCGAAGGCTTTCGTTGAACACTACTACACCACTTTCGATGCGAATCGTACGGGCCTCGCCAACCTTTACCAAGAAGGTTCGATGTTAACTTTTGAAGGTCAAAAGATCCAAGGCTCACCTAACATCGTTGCCAAACTCACTAGCCTTCCTTTCCAGCAGTGCCAGCACTCCATTACCACCGTCGATTGCCAGCCATCCGGTCCTGCCGGAGGCATGCTCGTTTTCGTTTCTGGTAATCTCCAGCTTGCTGGTGAACAGCACGCTCTTAAGTTCAGCCAGGTCTGTGCTTACACTTATCTATTTTTATAGTTATTTTTCATTTTGATTTTGATTTTGGGTTGAGTTTGTTCTGATCTATGCTACTTGTTTGATTTTTGCTCTTAATCGATCAGATGGCGATTGATTCAAGATTGTTGGTTCTGTGGTTTAATCGATGCCGCTGATTGTTTTATCTGATTTTCTGCTGTTTCTTTGCTAGATCTAGGGCTTTTTTTATTTTAATTCTTGATGTTTTCTATAATAAATGAAACGTTTCTGTTATATATTTCAATGTCATTTTTATCGCATATAGTCTTTAGATGTAAATATTTGAGAAATGAATTTTTTAATTCTTTATTTATTTACATTGCATGATGTTTGGCATGCACACAGCACTGCTCTATTGATATAAATTTGATGTGTTTGTCAAGTTTTTTATTTTTTAAAATTTAATGTCCATGAGAAGTGTTAAGACTGACCACTAAGCGTGATTGTTAGTTTAAAAACTGTATAGCATATGCTTATTTGAGTTAAATGATTATGGTATTTGGATGGAAAACATTGTGTTCATTAAAGTCACTGAAGTCTTGAATGGATGTGATTTAGGCGTAATATGATTGTGAATGCATTTTTCTTGTAGTATTATAATTATCTGGAGACATTAGAAGTTTTAGCCTATTATAATTTTTCTCATTTGATAATAGTCTGTTAAGTTCCTATCAAAATTATTGTTAAGTTTCTCCATTGCATTTGAATTTAAGATACTATTTCGGATATTAACTATGTTTTCTTTGTTGATATATTTGTATTCCAGAACCAATGTTATATGAAGATGAATTTTTAATAATGAAATGCTAGGCCTCTGAATAGCTTTTGTTGCTTATAATTTAGATGTTCATTAATCCATATTGTATTTTGGCACTTCTTTCTCTCTTCTTCCTTGCCTATGTATGGATGCAGTTAAATTTCTTACTCACTTTAAGCCGTGTGTTGGTGATATTTGTTGCCTAAGAAAAAGTCATAATGTTGGTGACATTTAAAGTCATTGCATGTTCTCATTTAAGCAGGTGTGTTGAGTGTGCATTGACATGATGTGGGATTGTTTATCACATGATACTTTTTGGCCTTCAACAACCCTCTTAAGTGCATGTTATTGAAGGCATTAGAGTTCTTCGGATTTACATGATTTGGCTGGACTGGAAGTGCCATTGATGATCAGTGTGCGGCATTTCCTAGCAGTAACTGATGATGATTCAATTTTTGTCACAGCAAGCACTTCAGGCGAGACCATTAGATTTCACCGTGCACTTGGAACTCTTCTGTTGAGCCTTAATTAATGTGGAGTTAGTTCAGTTGTCCAGTGCAATTTTCAGTATCTCCTTTGTTCCTACTCTATGCTTTCCAGCTAACTGACCATACTTATTATATATGATCAAATGGCAATGAGATATCCTCTCCTTAATCGATTAGTGGTTTAAAATACATTTATTTGATACCTTCCAAACTATGTGTTCAATGATATAGAAAAAATTTAGTACTACAACACAGTCTGCTCTTTTGTATGTTAACTCCCTTCTCCTCTGAGCATACTATTTAGTTTCAAGAGTATCTTGTATGTCCATTTTGAAGATTAATGCAATTGTTTAAGACCTGCATTAGTTTTGGGTTTTTTCTTCTCTTTTAATTTGTTTTATGATTGCTGCTAACGATGATATTGCCATGCTTTCTGCCCCCAGATGTTCCATTTGATGCCAACACCCCAGGGAAGCTTTTATGTGTTGAATGACATATTCAGGTTGAACTATGCATGAAGAGTAGATGGTTGAAGGGAATATATGGCCGGTTGAAGGGAATATATGGCCTGAAGGATTGAAACAAGTTTGCTTTAATTTTTATTCAATTTAAACATTTAAATGAAAACTTGGTTTTTTCTTGGTTGGTTCTGTTAAATGTTTCCTTGTGCCTTTTTCGTGAACTTGTATTGAGAAACATCTTTGTTGTGATGGTTGAGTTGGTGAAAGATGCTTTCTTCTAAACTGAGTATTGGAGGTTGAAGGCTTTCTAGTTGATTTTAGAGGCTGTTCTTGAACATGGTTACTTAGAATGAATCAAAAAATCTGCAATTGTCTAATTCCTTTTTTCTTTGTATTTTTGCTTTTACTTGTACCTTTAATACCTAGTTCTTTGTATTTCTTTGAACATGGTTGCCTAGAATGAATCAAAACCGGCTGATCCGGAGACTGGCCCTTGACCGGGTCAAGGCCTGGTTCAGGTTTAAAAACATTGGCTCAAGACAGAATATGAATTGGCAGACCTCTCTTCTTCGGGATTTGATCTGCCAATTGTCAACAATCCACCAACTCTCAAGTTCCAATCAATTTGTTATCTCACCCGTTAGTTACAGCTTTTGAGAATGGAGTGAATTCTAAAGATCCGATTGGGAGTTTCATGTAAAGTTAAAGATCCGATTGGGAGTTTCATGTAAAAGTTATGAGGGTAAATACTGTAGCGGTTTTAAGAGATTTTTAATAACGGTTTTTAAAATACTCATCTTGTGTTTAAGAGCAATGTTTTAAAATCCGGCCCGGCCCGGCCGGTTGAACCGGGACCCGGCCGGGTGAGCCGGGCCGGGTGAGCCTAAAAACCAGTGTTTTTAGTTTACCCGTTGACACCCGTGGTTGGACCGGTGTACTGTAGCATCCACCGGTCCAACCGTCCATTTTAAAAAATCCGGTCAACACTTATAATATGAAATAATTAAATTTAATAATAAAAAACTTAAACAGTAAACCCCAATATCATTTCATTTCCCCCCCATTTTCACGCGTTTCCCACCCTTTGCTTTGAAAGTTTGAACTCTGAAGCTTCACTCTCACTGAACTCTGAAAATTACCACCGGAGTCTTCCCTTCAGCGTCGAAACTTGTCCCTGCAGCCTTCACCGTCAACGGTTTGCTTCGTCGTCAGCTGGGGTGCCGCTCATTTCGCGATCTTCTCTGGCGTCCACTTTTCATCACCGCCGATCTACGCCGTAATCCATCGTCTTCATTATTGATTCTTCTCGAAGCTGCACAGTGCACGGTCGATCTGGATCTCGGAGCTGCACGCACTCTTCTTCACATTGCTTGAATCTGACTCAGCTCTTTATAGTTGCCCTGTTCACAGCCGAGCTCCACCTCCCCGACGGGCAACGAACGGCAGCTCATCTTCACCAGTAGGTAACTGTCACGGTGTAGGCATGTCTTTGTTTCAGCCTTCAGGTCTTGTGCATGATCAGGGCATTAGGCCTGAACCGAAATGGGAAGCCTTCGTAGTTTGTGGCTTCATTAACTACCAGTTCCTGGAGTGCTTCCTGAGGTGTGAGGGCTGAAATGTTAGGATCTTGGTTGCAGAAGAGGTCTCGGAATGTTGATTTCTGCTGCATTAGAACGATACCGTTCTCTCATTTTGTAACCTTCTGTACATATTGTCTCTAGATAAGGGATCAACCAACTCTGACTCTAGGAATATCAGCTTAAAACATTTACTAGTTGATGAATTTGTTGTGCATTTACCGGAGTTTTATTAACTAATCAAGTCATCAATTTTAATCAAATTATTGATTTGAATTTCATTGATTTTATCTCTTTTATGAATCTTCTAGGCTAGTAGAATGACTTAGGCTGGTGCTTGGAAATAATTGGAGCAAGTTCATAGTCATAGTTTGGGTTTAAAGAAATATTGTGCATCATCAAGTCTTTTTCAGGAATACTTGATATTATGCAATTTACATTTCGTTGCAGACATTTTGGCTGCTTGCTTTTACGTATACCTGCCTCTAATATGCTGTGATAGTTGAGCATAATGTGGATGTATGTAAATAAGAACTTGAGTAGGCTCATGGTTTCAGCCTTAAATAAGTGAAATGCATTTTCACTTTGTTTCCCACCTGCTTGCAATGGAGCTAATTATCTGTCATTTATTATTTTATAAAAAGAGTTATCATTCTCTGGCCTGTTTGTGCATGATCAGGATTAGACAGAGCTTATATCTATTGAATTTACAAAAGTGGAAAAAATGTATTCTGGGAACAGTATTTTGATGACGTCATCAAATTACTGTTCACCGGTTGAACCAACTAGTTTAACCGGTTAAACCGGTCGACCCGGGACCCGCTCCTCTTGCCGGGTTTTATCCCGGGTCGGTTTTTAAAACATTGTTTAAGAGTTTATTTTTTAGCGGTTTTAACAATATTTTAAAATGATAAATATATGCTCAATTTTTTTTTTCAATTTCAATCAATATTTAGAAGTTTTGTTTTTTCAATTATAAGTTAAGAGCTCTTTATTTATTTTGTAATTACTAGTATTTTATAATTTTAAATGTAATAAAGTTTTCTTATTATTTTTTGTCATTTTTTGCATCATCTGAAATGATTAAAAAATTGTAACTCAACTTCTTCAAGAAATCATCTAGGAATAATGAGATTTTAATATATTTTTTTTTTTTTTTGTGATGATTGTTTAAAATTATTTTATATTTAATATAGTTGAAGACACGTATAATATGATTATTTTTTTTTTTATATAATTGAGATAGTTTTAAACATTTCTAACACATTGCACCAAATTGGTGCAAGTTTCACACCGAATTGGTGTAATTTTTGGTATAAAATATTATTGTATTTTCAACCTAGTGCATTAAATATTACACCAAAATGAATATTTTTTAGAATATTCTCTTTCTTTTTCTTTTATTGTAATAATCCACAATTAATATATTTCATTTATTATTTATATATATATTAATTAAATATTAGGAATTAGGAATAATGTTTTTATTAAATAATAATTATGAAATCCAAATGAAAAAGTTGGCTTTGATAGATTATCAAGAAGATAGCAAAATTTCTACGCGGGTTTTTTCAAAATGAGTAAACAAGAATTATACAAAAAAGAGCCCAACAACAAGATTAAGGATTTTAAAATAACTTTAGTTCTTTCTAATATTTTGATGATCTTATAAGATCTGAAACTAATCCATCGGAATACTAAATTGTTATTTTAGTTTATGTTATATTTTCTTTTAATTTAAATGTTTTTAAATTAGAGTTAATTTTTATTTTGAGTTATTGTAGTTTAATATTTTCATTGAATAAAGTTTTGTTTTTAATTTTTTATTATTTTTGAATTATATCATTATTATAAATAATAATTAAATTAATTTAAATACAAATAATAAAATTTATTAAAAAAATTTAATCTATAAACAGTATCATACCCATTTGGGTGGAGCTACCGTACTGCACCAAATTTGGCGTGGTACTGTAGCAGGACACCAATTTGGCGCAGCAAATGGCGCTGGGTTGGAATTGAAATTTGCTGTACACCGAAAAATGAAGCAGGCTGGGAGATGCCCGATAAAGTATTCGTGGGATACAATTTTGACACCAATCAAAATATCTCAATTTAAGGTATTTTATAAACCCTTCAAAAATACATTATATTAGTTTTAGAGTTTTTTTAAGCCAGTAAAAATCAGTGTTTAAAAATCTAACAAGTAATGATTTTAAAACATCTTAAAACCAGGCAAATTAAATTTTTTTCAAAACTAGTAGAAAAAAATCTAAGGGCCTGCTTGAGAGTTTTTTTTTTTTTCACTAGTTTTGGGGGGTTTTTAATTAGACTGGTTTTAAGGTGTTTAAAAACCATTACTTACCAGATTTTTTATGAACTGGTTTTGACTGATTTAAAAACCCCTCCAAAACTAGTATAGTGTATTTTTGAGGAGTTTATAAAACATCCCAAATAGTTTTGACTGATTTAAAAATTTTATCTTAAAAAAACCCCTTCCCACTATTATTTCGTGGTCTACTCTAATTTGCAACAAAAAAATCTGACGGTAGTTGGAACATGCAATGGCTTTTTCATTAATTATATGATTCATACAGTTTGCAGGTACAGATTGAGTTTTGGATGAAATGACGAGCTACAGCTTGGATCTCTCATTTCTACTTTTACAAAAGCTAGATCTGCCCTTGTTGCTGCTGCAAAGTAGATATTTTTGTCAAGTTTGGACATGTTCCATTTCACTTCTCGGTTAAAATGGTTTCTTATGGTGACAATAGCAGTCAAGCTCCAATGTCGTTATTTTGGTCGATTTCTGAATACAACTAGCAATTATCGTATTTTCTCTAACGTACTACATATGCTATGAACACTTAAAAGAATGCAGAGTTAACAAGTGTTGGATCTAACCATATATATTCACGAGGGGATCCCAGATTGTACATTTATGTGCATGTCCAAATACATTTTTAGGAGTTAACTCTTTTCTGTTCCGCTCCTTGACAAAAATTGGTGCTCGAAAAGCTATGTTCTACTTTTTGTTTTCATGCTAAATTACTACCAAAGGTGCATAATCTGGAATATTAATACGTGTTAAATATTCAATGTTTCTTTAATTGGTTGTTTTTGAAAATTAGAGTGTATGGATGCTTCAATTTTGGTTCCATATATTCAAACTATTTCTTTTTTTGAAACAGTTCTCTTTCAGAGTTTGCTGTTCTTGGATATGAATTGGGTTATTCAATGAAAAACCCAAACTCATTGGTAACGTGGGAAGCTCAATTTGTCTTCTTTTGGATATATTTTCAGCAAACCTAGTTGTTGAGTGAAAGTCAAATTACCAAGTATGCTAATAGTGGCAACATAACTAATGTGATCAACTAAATTACATATTTCAGTGAGAACATACAAATAAATTAAATAATATACAAAGAACTTACAAATAAATTAAACTTGAAAGGAACTTTGATACTAAGTATTGGTAATTGAAAAAAAAAAAAAAAAACTCCAAAGTACTGATTGAAGTTGGGGTATTTTTATGGACATATATATAAATTTATCATTTTAAAAAATTGTCAAAACCGCTGGAAAATAAACTCTCAAACACAGGTTTGGTGTTTTAAAAATTGCTACTAAAAACTCTTCAAAATCACTACAGTGATTTACCCTCAAAACCGCTACGATGATTTACCCTCATAACTGTTATCATAAAACTCTCAAGCAGACCCTAAGTATTTTATTAAGTGGGTGAACCATAATTTGCTCATCTTGTCTCATAAGAAATGCAGCTCAAAGGTTGTGTACCATATTCGCATTAAATTCAATCCCACACTCTAGTTGAACAACATCAACAACACATAAGATTGACATAAACGAGTACAAAGGAAAAGTTGAGGAGAGGGCATGTTCTGCTCTTTACACATCGAACCAGATAAAAGCATCTCGAAGGTTGAAGACCAACTTTTCTTGGCTTTGTGAACAATTACCAAAAACCCAAACAATTTATTTAACAACACATCCAACTTGAATAAACAGTTTAAACATCTGGATTACAGGACAATAACACTATAATACATTTGTTTCTTGAAGAATTTGACGGATAAGGGAAAGAGACGTGCACACATTTTACTCTGCTCCAATGCAAACATAATATATTGAACCAACTAACACCATAATCAACAACTCCATTTCTTGCTTCATTCCAAACACCGCAATGTCGTTTCAAGCTTCTTCACCATTCACAACAAATTCCAATAAATCCTTATGAGGGATCTCCGGAAATTTGAGAGAAGGGAGTGGTTTAAATTCAATTAGGGAGTTCTTAGCATCATGCCAAGCACTACGGTGATGATTCAGTGCCTTCTCACCATTCAGTCGAAATTCTGATAAATCCATATGGGGTAGCTCCGGCATTTTGAGATGAGATTCAATTAGGTTTATTCTTTCTCTATACTGACCATTGTTTCGTGAGCGCCTTAGGAACCCCATGAGCATACTTCCTGCGGATCTAACTGGGTGGCTCAATCCTTCCTTAAGATGCCAAATGAGTTTGACCTCGGATAATTGCCAGACAACAGTGAGAACAATCATAGCTGAAAGAAGACAATGTGTTATTAAGTTCTGTCTCTTCAACTTTCTCAGCTCATTGGCAATCTCGTCCAGATCATTTTTAGCACCTCCATTGTCTAGCTGACTACCATCCACACCCTTTGAGTGTGATTCGCCAACAGCAGCAGGCGAAGTTACCGCCTCCGGTTCAGTTACTCCCCCAGATTGCTTAAGCGCTTCATCTCCTCTTAGGGATTCCAACTATTAATAGAAAGTACTGATACATTATTATTTCTACCATGATGCTCCATATCTTAAAATTATAAATTATCGAATTCAGAGTTAAGCTCACATATACTATAAATTCCTTCTATAGGGTAAACAATTTGATCGATTAACAGGACTAGATCGACATAGCTTAGTCAATTTTGAATCCACGACTCTGCCTCTGCCAATAAATCATTAACAAGCACCCACCACTGAATAACAAAAGGAACACATTTTGAATCCGACCCAAGTCAAGCTTTTTCATTTTTCTCTTTCATATCACTGATGTGCGAACCGGATTTTTTAACTAAACTTACAAGAAATGAATGAAGAACAAGCAATAAAATGGCTTGAGGTTAGTAATACCTACCTGAGAAAGCAAATTGGAAAGCAGAAGCTGGTCATCATGAGAAGAGCCATCCTTCTTCTTCTTCTTCTTTTCTTCTATGAGCTTTTCGATTGCAAGACTGATGAGTTCTACTTTGTCATCTGACTCCATATTCTGTTCTCTCTCTTAGAAAGCTAGAGTTTTCCCTTTTGGGTTTTATTTTCACAATAAAGTCGAACCGTTTTGCTTTCACCGTTTACAATAGCTGAGCTACACGTGGCATCTAACCCTATCGCGGCGGCTAGAAAACCAATCATTTTAGGTCGACCATCACAATACCTGATTTACCGTTCAGGATAACCATAGGTGACGGTGACGGTACCGCAGTGTTGCTCGCCAGAAATTTAACAGTTACTGATTATGTTATGACATTGGAAAAATAATTTCAGTTATCGAATTAGTGAATTTAAATAAAATATTTGTAATTTCTAACGCAATGAAATGAATCAAAGAGTTGATGGCCATTATAATTTAAGTGGAAATTATATGATTTTGCCTTCGTGAATTTTTACAGAAGAAAAACCATCCTTGACAGCTTTCTTGGTTCAGATCCCATTTCACTTTTGTCCCCCAGGATTGTAACTATGAATAAAAAATGGAACATGAAGTTGGCATGTGCAATCTCTTTCTTTCCCAACGAAAATGAAAAGAGAAGGTTACCGCCTTCAGCAGCTACAAGAAGCATTTACAACATCCACATATTAATATGGGAATATGGACTGTTAATCAGAATCACTAACTAATACCATGAAATCCAGAGATCTATTTACAAAGCATATTCCGAGAGAACACCCCAGGATAAGTCATCAAGTAAATAACATAAGTTAGGAAGATTAGAACTTGCTTCTAAGTAAACTGGTACCAATCATCATTTTCCGTATAGGCAATATCATCTACAGATATTGATGATGCTTCTTCACTTGTTTCACCTCGTTCGGCCTGCAAGAATAGTTAAATCAATTCAATTCAGAAATTAGAGTCTCGCCGCTAGGGAAGATGCCAACTCAAGAACAACTACTTTTGGATCATAACCAAGTAAATAAAAGACATCCTCTCATGGCAATCAACGTTTCATGATTTTGGACTAGAATAACATCTCAAATTGTATAAGTCATCAGACTCCAATAGGAGGATGCTGAGGCCCTTAATATGTCCCTTAACACAAATTAGCAACTAAATAAGATTATATAGTATTTGAATATGGTCAAACATTGTAAACCATGAAAAAGAAAATATAGAATCTTTACTCTTAACTGATATGATAAACCTTGGTTTTATAACCTACAGGGATGAAAGATATTCTATTGGCCAGAATAAACACAAGATAGTAGCAAATTTAGTTGTGATCATGACCTCTTATCTCACTCTGGTAAAAATTATGCTTATGTAAACTGGTAGCTAGACAGCATCTCAACAGATATTTAATGCTTTAACTATACTAACGTTACGTATTGACTAGTTGGATCAAAGACCAAGACATTCCTTCGCTTAAAAAATTATTCTACATACCTTAGCTTGTCGGAACCTTTCAAGCATCCGACGATATTGCTGACGTGCATCTGGAGAATCAACCATAGACAGAACTCGTGAGACAGCCTCATCAATGGCTGCATCTACTTTCTGTCTTCGGAACACTTTGAGAATGTCTTCATCTTCACTTTCATCATTTCGCTCTGATTCTGACCGAAAACCCCTCAAGCCAACACCTTTCCGTCTCCAACGCAATATAACCTTATCTAGAACTCCAACAGCCCAACAGATTACCTTGTACTTCTTCCTAACCTGATAGCCTCTGACATGAGCCTGCCAAGAAACTTAAAAAAGGTAAATTTTTTGCACATTGTCTCCCACTTGTACTACAATTGATATGTATCGTAGTTTCGATTGATACATCAATGTTTGGTAGTATGACTTCATGCACGGATACTTAAGCAAAGAGACAATTCCCCAATTACAATATGTGATTTGTGGACATCATTAAATAAATGATCCTGACAAAAACTGCAGTACCTGTATCTTGACAACTTTCTGGCGAAGAGCAAGATAATCCTTGCGACCTTTCCATCCTCGAAATTTCTTCTGAATAGACAAAGCAGCTGAATTGTAATCACGAGCATTACGAAAGGCCAGCTTTGACAAAGCTGAAAGCCCACTGATACCATACTCATCTCTTTCTTGTCGCCTTCTGAAGGAGTGTGCACGGAAAGCAGACTGTATACGTGCAGCAGCCTGAGTTGCATTACGGACGGCAGCCAAGGTATCTTTCATTGAAAGTTGATCCTCAGTGGCAGAGAGGCTTCCCTTTGAGACACTATTTACTGTTATTTCTGCTTCAACCTCAGCAGAGCCCTTGGAAAGCTCACTTTCTTCCAGAGTGAGGGATGAAAGATGGCTAGTCAGTGCCACCTCCGAAAGATAACCTGCAAGTCCCTTATGTCCACTGGAGGCAGCAATGAATGCTGGGGTTTTTCCGGTTGGATCTTGTGCATTGGGATCTGTTACAGCCCCAGCTGATGCACCAGAAGCTAAAAGAGCTGCAACCATTTTTTCCCTGTTACAGAAGGAAATACATACCTCTCAAAAACTGCTATACATCAAATAAACCAATATTTAGTTGATAAAATGTGTAAAAGATTTTAAAATCGTTGTACATCTTAATGATGAAGATGAGTTACAACTGATAAGTTCAACAAAGTAGTTTTTTGATGAACACAACATCAAGCAAGCAGAACACTTCTGCATTTAAAACTAATTAAATAATGTGGCGCCCACATGGACACTATTGTGTGGATTGAACAATTGGACATTTGGACCAGGCTTATCTATGAGCAACATAAAATAACTATAATCCTACTTCGCATCTGATCATCTGGCATATCCCTTTCAATATAGGAAAAAAAAAGTACAGAAGTGACAAAGACAGAAGAAATCCAGCACTATTCAATTTAATCTGCTCCTAATTTGTAGACATTTCACACACACAAACACAAATAAACAATTTAAACATAAACATATACAAACAATCATAATAGATTTGTAGTTTACCTTCCCAAACGTGCGGCCCAATGAAGAGCTGTCCACCCAGTAATATCCCGGAAGTTTATACTGACTCCGTGACTGAGAATTGGGTTTAAGGCCCATTCAAAGCCCAACCCAGCAACCATGTGAATTATCCCTTGCTCTTTCTTGGACAAGGAACAACCAGACTGCTCACAATCTCCAGTGGATTTTGAAGATAGCCACTGCTGCAGCTTGTCTTTTAAAAGCTCTTGCAGAAGCCAATCAATGGTACCAGAACTAGAAGAAGTCCCACTACTGACTAAAAGAGCCTCTAAGACTTGATCCCACAAATCATCATCGGCTTTCATTCCTCCCAATAGATGACATCCTGACTCCATACTATCTCCTTTCTGCAGAGAAGAATCAGACAGAAGCATCTGGACAAATCTGACAAGTAGCAAGAGCTCATCCCGGTTCTTAGTAGCTTGTGTTTGGGTTAAATTATCATGAGCAGAACTACTAGCCTTAACTCGATAATCAAATTCTTTGATTTCACTGCAAGCCTGCCGATTGCTAGAAGTGATGCACAGGGTGACCTTTCCGGGAAGGCGAGGAGGAGCTTCACAACGCAAGACGCCTTCTTGAATGATCTCAAGAGGAACTTCAGTGTCACCAAACATGCATGCCCATGCAGATTCTGATGGATCACACAGAAAAGATCCAACAATGATGACCTGCATTGAGTAACTTCAGCTTCAGTATTTTGAACTTCTAATCAACAAAAAGGAAGGACGTAGAAGAAGATTAAAAACTCTGAAGTAACAGGTGCATCACAAATATACATGGGAATGAGGATTTATGTATCATAGAGAATAAAACCACCCAAGGACATTGCTGCCTCAACCAGATTTGGAACAAACCCATGAAAAGGATGACATGATTGATCAGAAGAAGTGATTAAGTTGATTCGTCAAACCAAAAAAGATATTCATTATGGGAAATATACTACCATCGCCACATATGTATAAAAATCTTTCACAAAAAATAACAATACAGGGACTCTTACAATCCATACCTTTGTAGGTTCAGTGGCATAGCCCCATTCTGGGGAAATTTCCCGTATTTTAAATTTCAGCTTTTCAGCAACCGTCAAAATCAAATCTGGTTCAGGAGACGCTCCAATATGTTCTTGGTGAGAAAACATTGTATAGTATTCAGAATCAATTTCATGTGTTCCTATTAATGAAGAATATGCAGGAATTTTGAAATTCTCAACTTCCTGAGGCAGCATCATAGTAGCTGGTGATACAAAAGACTTATCAGAGCTTGTCAAAAATTAACTAGATACCAAAAGTTATAACGCAGAATTATGCTAAGAAACAGAAAGAACCATACGATTTTCAACGATATTGGAATTCAGCCAATGAGTGTGTTCCTGCTCTTCAGCTGGTGCCGTTCTTGAAGAAGTTTGCAGCTTACCCTAGAAGCATGAAAGCATTATTCTAATGAAACAAATGCTAATCAGCTTTAAACAAAGGCATTTCTATATGTTGGTCTTATCCACACGAACATCAATAAGACAAATTGTCAAACCAAACTAAACAAGTTGCTTAAGATAGAAAATGACTAATTGCAATACCAGAAACAAATGTGTACAACTATAATACAAGATATCAAAGATGATGCCAAAGAAGAGACACTAAAATTTTCTTTGTTAATTTAGCATTTCCATTAAACATAAGAAATAGTTTACCTGCAACTCGACACCTGATGAGTTCTCACATGAGTCCAACATGTCTTTCCAAGGTGAAGTTTCTTTACTTTCAACCATATAACCATGCCCGTATAAGTGCTCTCCATCATCAGCTACAAAAGTAAACCCACCAGCAGCTAGTTTTAGATTTATTTCCTGTTTAATTGTATATAAAAATCAATTTTGAAAACATGCAATAGACACAGCAAGCAAAACGGAAACAAGAGAAAGTGGATCCATAAGATGCTTACCCTAACCTGAAAATTGTAGGAAAGGCACAACATTCTGCACTGATCAATCAAATACCCAAAATCTATCTATTATGTTTTTCTTGGACAGTGGGAAAGAAAAAAGGCAACAAATTGAACATTTTATGGCTAACGATGCACAAGGAAAACTTCAGAAACCCAAACAAACTACCACAAAATTTCAAATAGAATAAATAATTTTTTTAGGGTTTCTTTTTAAACAATAAAAAATCATGAACCTTTTTCGAAAAATGTATTTCCTCTCCATGAACCATCAAGCAAATCCTTAGTTCACACCTAACTTTAATTAATCTAATAAACTTTAAAATCATGTTTTTGCATTCCAACCTTATAAACAAGGTTAAGCTAGGCCTCCAGCCAACTCTTTGATTAGACATGTTAAGCTTATTCCTTACATTTCTTTGATCCTTATTAGGAATNATTATGTTTTTCTTGGACAGTGGGAAAGAAAAAAGGCAACAAATTGAACATTTTATGGCTAACGATGCACAAGGAAAACTTCAGAAACCCAAACAAACTACCACAAAATTTCAAATAGAATAAATAATTTTTTTAGGGTTTCTTTTTAAACAATAAAAAATCATGAACCTTTTTCGAAAAATGTATTTCCTTTCCATGAACCATCAAGCAAATCCTTAGTTCACACCTAACTTTAATTAATCTAATAAACTTTAAAATCATGTTTTTGCATTCCAACCTTATAAACAAGGTTAAGCTAGGCCTCCAGCCAACTCTTTGATTAGACATGTTAAGCTTATTCCTTACATTTCTTTGATCCTTATTAGGAATGCTTCATATGCTATTGAAGGAAAATGCACATATACACACACAAAAAGAAAAAAAAAAGTCTTTTACTTGAAGCACATCCTTGATTGCTCCAGGCAGATGCTTTTTATTCCATAGTTACCATAGTAAGCACAAAGTGATTAGATAAAACAATTGTAATAGAAGGAGTTGCACAAGTCAAAAATGCCCTAAAGTCTCAATTAAACTAATATATATCAGATTCAGCAACAAAAATCATCAATATCATAAAAATATTAGAAAAAATATCTTGAGTAGAAAATGCGGAACACAATGATACAGAATATGTGGTTAAAATCTCAGAACTTATAGAACACCACAACTTTGAGCACATATATAACACAACTTAACCGACCTGCATTCTGAGACAGCACAAGATTGTTTGAATCATCTAGGAATCCAGCATGTCCACCGTTATATTGTCCTTGTAAAGCATACTCTGAGCTTTGCAGTAAAGCTCCAAACTGATCCTGCTTGGACATTTCATTTTTGTATTCCAAATCCTGACTGGATAATGAATCAATTTCTTCGATTATCTCATCATTCAAACTTAACTGCTGCTCCAGCTTTCGCAGAGCTCGATTAACTTCACCTCCAGCACAATTAGTAATTTCCCCTTTACAGTCTATGCCATTATCCTTAATAGCTATCTCAGAGCTAACCTCTACAGAACCTGGGCTAGATAAACTCTGATATGGTTCATATGAATCACTAATTACAGAGGTAGAGCCTGGATTTTGAGAAGTGTAAGAGGTTGGACTCAAAAGGAAAGAAGAAGAAGCTCCTGGTGATACTGCAACAGATCCAGGACTAGGCTTTCCCTGAACACACAAAAAGTAATCAATGATGTTAGTCTGAAGCTCAAGCTATTCCTCACTAGATGCTATTATCAATGGAGGGCACCAGACAACTATTACACAAAGAAGAAGCAAACTATAGTCACAAAAAGGAGTTTCACCTACTTAATGGGTTATATACAACAACCGTAAAGAGTATGCACAGCATAGGTGGGAAGTTAAAGTAGTCTGTGAAACAGGCTTAAATCATGATCAATGTGCTAATGATATTGTTGAACCAAAAATCCCTACCATAAAAGTGGTTCTATGTCATAATCAAATCATCATGGCAACCCTAGACTCTGCTTGTTTAAAATGATTGGGTCTTCAAAATAGGTCTATCAGGACAGGCTAAGCAACATTCAGCTAAAAAGAATCTAGGATTACGTAGAAGGACTAGAAAATCTAAGATTTAAAAATAAAATAAATAAAAAGAAGAAGAAGAAGAAGAAAGAAAGGAGGAATGCAAACATAAAATGGGAAGATGAAGTGTGATTAATTTATGGCTTGAAGAATAATTATAGTTATAACAATAAACATAATTATGAGATTGAATCGTGGTTTGTAAATGATGTTTAGAAATCTAGAAGTACAAAATGGGGAGATCTGACTTCACTATATTCAGGCTCATAAATGCATACCTCTGTTATCTCTCTATAGTGAACGAGAACTATGTGCTCATATGCCCTGCCAAGAATGTATCAAGAAAAACTGTCAATAACCCCTTTAAGGCAACAGAAGTAAGTGATATCAAAATTGAGCTAGAACACTAATTAGTTTACTGACAACATTTTTCTTAATCTAGGCAGGGATTATGGTCTAACAAATTTAACATTTTGTTCGATTTATAAAAATTCGCTGACATGCCAGTAAACTTCAAAGGCATAAAAAGATATACACTCCATAAATACTGCAAGTACACATACGGATCCAACATCCAATAGCTACGCCTCTGAAAATTAGGGTTCTGCTCCCCATGCGCTTAATAACAATTTAAAGCTTCAAGATTTCCAACCTAGAATGCAGAGAAAATGAGATCTATCAGACTGAAACAAACAATATATAGTACTCCATTGATCACAGAATAAACATGAAGTGCCCCAAGACAACAAGATAATTAACAAAGAAACTTAATGTAAGTACACAAATAACTTTTAAATTGAACAGAAAGGATATATCTGTTCACATTTAGCAAAACTCCGAATTTGCATTTGCATCCTACATCAGAAGCTCAATATTTTGAAGATATTAGGAAAATACTTACCTCCAAGCACAACTTGAGGTACTTATGGTTGCATTTTAAGATATTTATCCTCCTAACTTTTCTGTTCTTCTATCTTCTCATCTATGCAAGTATTTAGACACAATCCCCAATTGTTCTATAAAGGGAGCAAACTGGGGTGCCATGAAATTAGAACATGCAGTTCTCATATCAGAAATATTAGGACCAATTAGAATACTGAAGATAACAGATCCCAAAATAGACAAATGAAGATTATTTGACAAACCACAGAATTTAAGAATAGAATAATCTCCTATGGAAATTTGATTAATATCCAAATAAAAGGGAGGGCTTCTCAATCTGGTGAACAAATCAAAATTTGGGCCTTAAGAGTTTGCCACCGTTTGAATGATTTTTCTATTTCCACATAATGGAAGTTAACACAGATTAAAAAATTATAGAAAACTTTTATCGCATAACATGATAAACATCTCTGAGACCAGAGTATACCGAGATGTGATATGCTTAAACTAAGCCAAAATAAAAAATGAAGAAAATACAAATCAGTCAGAGTAAGAAGGAAAACAATGGCCAAAACATAAAATTACATAGATATCTTCACAAACCTTAAGTCGTTCATGTGCTTCCCCTACAGCTCTCCCGTCCTTCTTTTTGCGCCAATTATGACCATCCTTACGAAAAAACCGAAGTACCCTCTTATTAAAAAGAAACACAGATCCACCTGGAGAAGTGTCCGCCGTTCAAAAAAACCATTCAGTGAAGAAGATTTGGCACATGGGAATTTATGAATACATTTACTCAATTAGAAGCAACAAGCATGGAGCTTACCAGCTGGCTTTTGAGGGGGCTCTTGGTTGAGCTCGTACTTCTCGTGATTTTGTAATATATACAGTACCTCTGCTGGCTTCAGCCAACGCGTTTGGGCTTCTTGAAACAAAACGTTGATATCATATCCTGCAATGGAGCAACTTCTTTTTTCTATCAAACGATGTCATCTGTCAGTAGTTATAAAAGCAAAAGTCTAAAACTTTTCACATGATCCACGACAAATTTAGTCCTAAAACATACGTACTCACTAACTTGATGAGTGAATTGAACAAACTTTTTAAATGATACTCGTGATTACCTGTTTGCATCGTATTCAAATGTGAAGAAACTAAAAAATAGAAGTCAAAACTGGACGAATTGCAGAGAAAGTCTTTCACTTATGCTCATTAGAACCGGAGGAGTGGTGTCGGTGCTCGATATGAATAAAGCTTCCTCGTTAACACTCAATTAAAGACGAGACGAAGCAACTTGGAACAGTCATGGCCGGAGAAATCGATGAATTTCGAGGAACGAGAGTAATTTAATCCTGAAGTGGATCATAGGTTTTGAGTCTTTTGACTTGAGTTGAGACTTGCGAGTTGAGACTATATCCGTACGTCTGGAGTTTTTTTTGTTTTTTTAAGCTGAAGTTAACAGAGCCCGACCGGGCGACGAAGGTAAGGCCTGCAATCTAGGCATTTATTTGGTGTTTCTCGATGTATTATAATCTTCGTGTTCTACTGACGTGTCAGTAGCTCATTGTAAGCTTGTAGATTGATTTTAGTTCAAGATTGATCGAATAGAGCGCTTACTGAGGAGTCAGCAGCAGTAAATAATCTCTCGGCAGGAATCTTCGTTCTCGTACTGTTTAAATTACCGAAGTATCCTTTGTCAGCGTCAGATGCAGTGACCCAAAAATGAAATTGTGTATTGTATAAATTAATTGGCTTGTCCACCAGAAAATGTGCGCCGTTATATTTGATCATGATAATCACACGTCAGAAAACAGAAAACATGATCTAACGGCCAAAAAACAAGACAACTCACAAAGAAGCAACTACCAAGAAGATATTAACTATGGCCACTGGTCTGGTCATCAGGTCATAGTGGGAGGGCGGTTGGACCCCAATAGCCTGCCATGTGCTGTGCCTATATTAGACACGTGATAAAGGTGGAGTTTTAAATTTATTTTTATGATGCAGTCGCAGTTGCAGAGCACAACTGATGGATTTTTATATGTACTGAGTGATGAGGGATTCAATGATACCCATATACTGTATCAATAATATCTGAGTCAGATAAGTTCAGGATTGAAGGTGATGATGAATGATGATGATACAATTAGGATAAAAAAGCTACAGAGGCGATAATGGGGAGTGGGGGCAAATAAGAGTTTATTGTCGCCCTGTAATTGGGGTCATTAGCTTTAGCTGGTGCTGCTCTGCTGGACCGTACTGTGAAAAAGAAGTCCAAAGTGAGAAGTGGGCTTTGGAAAAACTTGACCATCATTTGACATAGACTGCGCGTGCGGTGTTTTAATTTAAACATCACATTACAACTTGGTTTTTAGATATGTTTGGATGACAGTATGGTTACTTATTTTATCACTTCACTGCCACTGATTTTAGTACCGACTTTGACAGACGAAATCAACGGGTAAACGTATCAAAAATGATAGAGCCATCGAAAGTTGCACACCGAATCTGTGCATCGAATGACGTGGTAAAATCTTAATCGTTGATTAATATTAACTGATAATGAATCAACGGTCAAGATTTTGTCACGTCATTCAGTGCATAGATTCAGTACGCAACCTTCGGTGGCTGTAGCATTACTCTTAACGTATACGTAGGGACTAGAGAGGTAGATGAGTGTGAAGGAGACGTATTCAAATGGGAATAAAAGAAAGAAGAAAAATTGATTAACTAACTACCAGCACTGAATAAATACTTATTTTGACTATACAAACACACTTAATTGTCAATGATCTCATCCATCTTTGGCACTTATTGTGCATCATTATTGTATGAAAACCTTAGTTTGGTCCGAGTCAAGGGCTATATTGAACTCTTAACTTCATGTTAGGTAAAATTGATATAATTGAATTTAAGTCCATGTTACATGTGAATAGAGAGGTGCATACGAGCCGAGCCGATCCGAATAGTGGCTGGCTCGAGCTCAGCTCGAATGCATCGAGCTCGAGCTTGGCTCGATTATATATTAAACGAGCTGAGCCAAACCGAGTCGAAATCGAGCTAAACAATAAAAAAAAAAAACATCTTGCACGGTATCAATATTCAATTTTATTCTGCCTTTCTGCTCAATTTAATTTGGCACGTTATTAAACTAATCCAGCTCATATGAACACCCGAAATAGACTACCATCCATCGGCAATGAATCATCGCCTTTTACCGTAAAGCACATAACTTATATATTAATGCTCATCAGTATTTGCCGGAGTTATAAGGAACACTAAGATTCACGGATCTCCACTTTTCTCTGAACAAAATACAATGACTTGAACAATTCAGACAAGAAAATTTCACCTAAAATAATGGGCAGTAAATTACCGCAAAATTCAATTGATTTTAAATTTTGATCAATACTTCAGAATAAGGAATCTTTCTTGCAAATTTAATTCACTACCAAGTGTTCCCAGTGTCACATGAAAACCAACATAAAGAGATATTACAAATAGGAGCTATAGACATAATCCAAAACATTCACTTTCAGAGTCTCAAAAGCATGTTTCAATCATCTTCTCTTTCTGGGGGCAGGCCGCAAGGCAAGAGCATTTTCTGCACATAGAAAGAATTAACATTAGGGAATTTCCATTAGTAAGTTAAGATTTAAGTGAACTTTAACTTACAAAGCTTGAAAAGTTGACACAAAATATATAACCATGCCATCCAACAAATCAAGCTTGCTTAATGCTTCAACTGCTATAAAGCCAAGTTCCAAATTGTTATTTTTCAAAATGTATTAACATACTTTAGATGACATCATTCCAATGAATATTTAAAATTCTCTCCGTTCTCCACTACTTCTTTATTTACTCACAACATTGATAATTTTTTCTTATCTCTTATCTCTTCTTAAACTCTTTATTATTCCTTTTAATAAGAAAAAATCAGTTTCACTTTGTACTCCCAAACAAGTAAGAATTACTTAGATAGATGAAAAGCAAATTAAGATTTTAATGGTGGGCAACTAGTGCATACTTGCATACATAGAAAAAACATGCAGACAATACAGATGAATTATAAACATCATGCTTAAAGCACAACTCCATGTGCAATGTCACGTGTATACATAATAGGTGAAGTCCCTCATCTTTTAGTGAGCAATAATGTCACATGATTGTGCANAAAATGTGTTTGGTTGGTTCAAATATATTGGTGAATAATATGTTTGGTTGGAAGGATAAATGGGTGGGTATGTTCTATAGATTACTAAATTGCCCTCCTTTTTAAATATTAATTTAACAGTATTTTTTATTATTATTTTTTGAATAGTTTTTTTTAACCCCCTACTTTTCAAATTGAGCAAAAACATCCTAGCAACCAAAAACGTTTTAAACTTAACAAAAACACCCCTACCCACCCAAAGCCACTATTGGCAATGCCACAGATCTGGCCGTGAAACGACCAAAAGACTTGGCTTTTCATGGCTAGATCTGTCGCTGTTTCACGGCCACATGCTTGGCCGTGAAACAGCCAGATCTAGCTTTTTTCGACCATGGAACTGTGATCCATGGTCGGAAAAAGCCTCACCGAGGCACGGTTGGCCATATACGGCTAGTCGTATACCATTATGGCGACTTTTGGCAACCTCGATGGCGATCAACGATGGTTGCCGGTGGTGACTAGTTATGGGTATAAAGGTATTTCTGTGAATAATGATAATAACAAGGGCAATATCGTTCGAAATTTTTAAAAAGGAAGGACAAAAGTGTCTGCATGAGTGATTGGGTGTTGTGTAAATAATAGCAAATATAAGGTTAATTTGGAACAAATGCTCAACTGTTTAGGGGCAATATGGGAAAAAAATTGTAATACCAGGGTAAGTTTTAATAACAGCCCCCCCTTAGGTATTAATATTACCGGAAATTTACCCCCCAAATGTTACTGTTTGTCATATAATATTGTGGGAATAATTTTTTACAAACCAACCAAATATCGTCATTTGCTCAATTTAAAAATTATTACCCTAGTTATCTAATATTAACCCGATCCAAATGGACCCTGTAAATAATATAAGATATATTATTCTCGGAATCTCATATACACTCCAACCAAATGCCTCTCTCAATCCCAATTGATGATATTTGTTGAAAAGTTTGGGCCTATTTCTATCACGGAGATGGGAATGGCCCTCAGGCCTCAACGTTCAAGAACATAATACTTGTAGCAGTCTTGCATATCTACCATATCTCAGACAGCAAATACTTTTAGTATTAAATTAAAACTCATTCAAGATTATGTATAAAATCTCTCTCTCTCTCTCTCTCTCTTTTACTCTAATCTTATGTTGAGAGTCTTCACATCAAAGTTTTTAATGAATTTTATGAAATCTAACTATTAAAATCATAAATATAAGCAGATTGATTCTTTCTCGACCGACCCACATTAGTAGAACCAGTCAAACAGGGTTCTAAGTCCTTTGATTTGCTTGTGCATGAAACATTCTACGAAACATATACAGCCATTAATGATGCCATTTTGAACAAATTATCTGTGCAAGCATATGACCTATAACCATAAGACACAAGTTATTCTAACTGTCAGTTTGTCACGTGTCAAGAACAAAAGTAACTCAAAAAATGGGACGGCGGAAGTGAATCCTGGTAACTTAATCTCCTAGGTTCCGCCCCACACAATTTCAACACACAACACACAAACACAGATTCTCTTTATCTCCCCTTTGTATGTTCTTTTGTGTGTATATAAACCAGTCTTCAGGCCAGCGACTACCTCACCATTAATTCCCACACAATCTTTCTTCAATACAACAGTCTCGAGATAAACCGCAAAGTGTTTGAAACATGTCAGATTGGGGCCCAGTGTTTGTGGCAGTGATCTTGTTCGTGCTGCTAACGCCAGGTTTGTTGTTTCAGGTGCCGGGGCATCAGAGGTGCGTGGAGTTTGGCAATTTTAAGACAAGTGGTGCGGCAATCATGGTTCATGCCCTCCTCTATTTTGCTCTCATTTGTGTCTTCTTGCTTGCTGTCAAGGTTCATTTGTACCTTGGTTAATAATGTACTCATTAACATGGCTGTATGTTTGGCAATGAGATGAAAATTACTTAGTTCGGGATGTTGCAGCAGGGTTTCTAATTCGAGTCGGTTAATTGTGTAGCTTTTCATCACTTTGTTTGTGTCTTGGTCTTTTGCATTGATATAAGATGTAACTGACTGTTGAGTAATAATAGTACTGAGAAAGACTTCCATTTTCTTTCATCATTTCCTAAATCTATGCCCTTTCTTGCTTAGTGTTTTTTAGTTTGTGTTACTGGCGGCAATTTGAAGGCATATTATGATTTTCAGAGATACATGTATAAGCCGTTTATACGTATCAGTACTTAAAATAAAGATCTGTTTAACTAGACAAAATATTGTTTTCAGAGGGCTGGTTTGCAAGATTGAACGTACATTGCCAAAGGACTTAAATTTTCTTCCATTCTG